TTACTGGCCAAATATGGATCAGCAAATCACAGACCTAGTCAAGAGTTGCCGCCAATGCCAGCAGGCCGCCAAGAACCCTCTCAAGGTTCCTTCAGTCCCTTGGCCACAGCCACACAAACCCTGGTCACGGATCCATATCGATTTTGCTGGACCGATCAACGGAGTCTCGTACCTTGTGCTCGTGGACGCATACTCAAAATGGCTGGAGATCGTCCCAATGACTTCCCCCACAACAACGAGAACATTGCAGGTTCTCTCTCAGATTTTCAGCCGCCATGAGATTCCAGAAACCATTGTCTCAGACAACGGATTACAGTTCACCTCTCAACAATTCAAGGAATTCTGCCAACAGCATGCTATTACACACATGCATTCCCCACCCTACCACCCACAGTCAAACGGACAGGCGGAGAGGTTCGTCGACACATTGAAGCGAGCTCTGCTGAAATCCCGTGGGGAAGGAAGGACATCCGTCGAAAGTCTACAGAATTTTCTCCTGGTCTATCGTACAACACCAAACGAGGCTCTACCAAATCGACAGTCGCCATCTGAGGCACTCGTGGGTCGCAAATTGCGGACGACAAATTCCGCAATGATTCCGGTACAGGACAACCGTCCGGAGCCTCCGAGAACGAAATCTACCACGCCATTTGAAATCGGAACAGCCGTGTGTGTTAGTGACTATCGACCAAGGCATGACTCATGGATCGAAGAGACTATTGCACGCCGACACTGCAGGGTCATGTTTGACGTGACAGTGGGTCGCGACACGTGGTCAAGGCATCGCAACCAACTCCGATTGAGAAAAGTTTCTGCGACAGCAAATCATCAGACCAGCATCCCACAGGCTGTACTTTTCGACACTTTTCAGCTGCAGCCACCAATCGCCACGCTAGTGAAGACCAACAGACATCAACTAGCAGCAGGCAGGTCTTCACCCCCAAAGCAGAGTGGCCGAAAAACGACAGAAACCAGCACTACTCCAAGTCAACCCAAAGAAGAAGCGTTATTAGCTTTTCAAGGAGGAGAGGTGTTGGGGATTCACGATTCCCCAAGATTGGTTTCTAATTTATTAACATTTGTTTTGTTAGGCCTTTAGGAAGTCAAGGTCAACCTTGACTTGAGATAGCTTTCAAATTACTTTCGATTTCACTTTTTCTCTGCACGTGGCTGACGTGAATAAAGCTCTCTACTCGAGCTCTGGTCTTGTTCCTGTATTAGCCTGGGAAGGTCGGTTCTAGCATTCAGCGAGATATCTGCTACCGTTATTTGAGAGGTCTTCTCTATTGTTACGGGCAAACGTAACATCTTGATACTGCTGTTATCATACAGCCCCCTGGCAATGTGTCACCACTTAACGCGGAATCCCGGTTGTATTACTTAGTCATCTGGTTAATGGCTTTTGTTGACAATAATTCCAAGTGAGGCATTTGGTTGCCAACTCTGCTCATTGACGCAACGGCAGCTTTAGCGTTACTGAATGGGACACGGCCAAATCGAGGCCATTTGCACTTTTACCTCAGTCTACCAGCGAGCGTGTTGACTTGCTTTCCACTGTAATCCATCCACTTGACTGAAATTCTCGCATTTTGAGAAGGGAGTTATTCCCGTTTTGAGCTCAAAGATATGCAGTCATCGGTTTAGCACAAAATTCCTTTCAAGCCAATTAAAGGCAATTCAAGCCATGGGAATTTCCGTGTCCATTAAAACAAGGGTGGTGCACAGCCATCTCGCTCGAGCTCCACACCAGGACGTAAGATCTCTGACGCTCACGAAGGCGACAACCAGACATAATTGCCACCTCGATAACTACTCCGATCTTTGCAGTGGTGTGGTTTTCTTCACATTTCGTCAAAGGCGACACAGTATCACCAGAGATCACCCCAAGCAGCACACAAATGTAACCACTTCCTTGCACTGTGTAACCTCAGAAATTACCTCACTTTGAGTAACTGCACTGGAATCTATTGATAGGATACACTCAACCAACCAGTGAATATTCCAAGTGCACAATCAGTGGATATTTCAACTACTTAATGAGTGCGACATCTGGCTTCGACGTCACTCAACAAGCCTACCCCCCCCCACCCCCACATGATTCGATGGTCAGAGTCGCGTAACGCTCAACATTTCCTGACGGCCTTGGGAGCTCAGCCTAGATCAATTTAAGCTGCTGAAGACCCTGTCATGCCGTCTTGTACCACGCCGCAGGAGTGCAGTTAATTTATCCCGATCACTCCACTCACATAACCCAGAAGACAATTAGAAGACCGGAGATGCCAGAGACAACTGTTTACTAGATACCTCAACCAAGGTGTGCGTGGATGTGCTCGCAGTGGTGCCTGATTAATATGATTACCGATGAATAGTGTGGGTAAACTAGTCAACGCACAAACCACTACCAGAGCAGAAGAGTTCAACCGACAGTGGGGGAAGTAAATGCAAAGAAGTGTGTGAGAGTAGATGCAATAAAGGCTGAAACTAGTGACAATGTATTCGGGCATAAGGGGGAAAGCAGGGTCTTTATATATCCTTGTCCTGGTTGTCCTCATCTCCCGTTGGTCTGTTCCGCGGCGCTGTAATGTAGGCGCAAGCCTAGTGAGCGGCCTACCAACAAGATATGTGCAAAGAACAAGTAGGAATAGCCACAACAGGACAGCTTGGGGCCTAGGGGTTCGGGAGACACGGTCTGGCGGGATGCGCATTACTGAAGAAAGTGGATGAACCTGCAGACAAGATGGTGATCCACAGGCTTCACGGTGACGGGTTTCGCGTGGGCAGCCGCCGACGCCACGTACGAGAAGAAGTCCAGAAGGAAGGCCTCGGTGGCCTCCTGAAGGCAGTCAAGTGCTGACGCCTGCCAGCGTAGAGACAGCGCCAATTCGGTAACCCACGTTCTCCGGGGACTACCAGGGCAGATCGCTGTGCGGCATGCGGAACTCGCAGCTCGATCAAATGCAGACGTACAGAAGGCTCTCGTGGGTCCGGAACCTACCAATGGTGGCAGCGGAACCGTCTCGAAGACGGACACGGACCCATTCAGTGGCCACGCCGGATGGCAACGAGGCAATTTTCACCCTCAACAACCAGAATTCAATCTCGACGACGACGACGACGACATCGAGGCGTCGGTCTTGACAATGGAGCAATACTTGAAGTACGAAGGGCCTGCCTGTAGATCGCGCAGGCTCATGAGAGGCCTGGCCGCTCCTGCCAATCGTATTGCGGTTACGGCAGGCTGCACAGCAGATACACCGTATGAACAACTACTGCATAAATTGTCCCAGTTGTTCGCAAAGAAGGCTGAGCACAGTCAGCTGAAACTCGTACGTCGATGCTATCGACCCCATCAAGCCCAACAGATTCCAACGGCCGTGAACCAGACGACCAGGCGGACCATCGACGAACAAACCTCGTGGTGGATTCGCTCCCAGTAGGCCTTCCAGGACGTCTGCTCCTTGTTCTCCATCTGCTAGCATCTAGTGGTTTATGCATTTCGTAGTTGATATGGGGGCCGGTTGCTCTTTGCTCAATCCAACACGATTCCCTGCAAAAAAGACGTTCAAACCGTACCATTAAGCTACTTGTACATTACGCAAAGCTTCATGCGGTTACTGTGAAAGATAGCTTGCCGACTCAGCCTATTGCCTAGTCAGCCGTAAGGTGCCCAGGTTGGTTCATTCTCGGTTTCTACCTCGGGTCTTGTGTTGGTCTGCTGGCAAGTTCAAAGCAATCCAATGTACCATCGTACGGCATATCCCAACGCAAGCATACAATGTCACAATTGCATCTGCCCGATATCAATAACCAACCAACCAACCATCCAATCACTCACCCACACACACGCACTCGCACACCAATGGACGCAACACCCAATAGGAACAATGGCCACTGCAACAGTCACTTACATGGCAGGAGTGTGGGAAGCACCTGAAAGCCTCGAGCACCAGGTGAGATGACAGCCACGAAGTCGGGAAGAGGCGTACCTCGTTGGTGGGTACGGAAGACCACTTCCACGGCTAGTTGGTCAACATGCGGAAGCTCGTGTTGCAGCACCTCGACTAGCTAGCCATGAGGGATGCACGATGACCAGCCAGCCATCTGACTTCTCATTTCACCGAGGCCTTCCTCGTGGACCTCTTCTCGTACGCGTTGTTGGCGGCCACCAACGCGAAAAGCGTCCCATGAAGCCCGTGGATCTGCATCTTGTCTGCAGGTTCATCCATTTCCTTCAGTAATGCGCATGCCGCCAGACCGTGTCTCCCAAACCGCCTGGCTCCCAGCTGTCCTCCTGTGGCCATTCCTACTTGTTCTTTGCACATATCTTGTTGGTAGGCCACTCACTAGGCTTGCGCCTACATTACAGCGCCGCGGAACGGACCAACGGGAGAACAGGACGACCAGGACAATGATATATAAACCCACTGTTTTCCCCCTTACGCCTGACCACATTGTCACTAGTTTCAGCATTTAGTTCATCTGTATAGGCCGAAAAACTCGTCCACCCCCTCCAGCCATTCACCAATGTCGTGGTCCACATGGCATTTTTCTGGTTTCATGTGAAATTACGATTAATGTTCCATCCTCTTTGACATTGCGGTGGAAGCAAGCTCCGGCTGAGTCAACTGGACACCATCCACGTCGCCATCGGCTGACTTCTGATTCGTACTGCTTGAGGCGGCTGAATGAACAAAGAAACAAAAGATTGACATCAACACACACACACACACAAGCACGACCTGGTAACCTCCTCCTGGTTCGTTCGGGACAAAAAACACAGAACACTCGCAAACGGATTACCAGCATGTCATCTAAGGTGATATTTGATCCCCGCTTCTTCACGCCTCTCATCACGTGATGCGACACGATGGCGCAGTTGCGTGCGCGCCTCGCTCTCGATCGACTGGGCGACAAAATGGCAAACCTCAACGTGACTAAGCAGGCGTGGCGATGACATTTATCTGATAGACGCCAAATGGTGACACCACCTCACTACTAAACTCCTTTAAACCCAGATTAGTAGCAATGAGCATAGCGTAACCATAGCTAGAGTGGAAGGCCAAATAGGATGTGTGGCGTTGGAGATCCGTCACGAGCCAAACAAAGGGTTCCCAGCATTATTAGCTCGGAGATTTGCACCAACGTAACAGCACGTCTAAACGTGGGACCGACATCAGTCACTACTAGAACATGCATTAATCTAATGCATATGCCACCAGACATGACGGGGCAGGTACCTGCACAGGACGTGTGAATGGCTGAGTAAGAAATAGACTCACCTGTGCGACCACTGGCACCGAATTCGTCGCGGGAATTGGCAGTCGAGTGCTCGCCACTTTGTCAAAATTGCGACCCATGGCACCTGTTCTTCCATTTGTGTAGCATGCGACTGGACTAGTGAGGGAATCGAGACGTTGCAGTTCAAGGCTGGGTCAGCAGACTGCCTTCTCCATTTCCGCTGTAATGGACAAATTTCGCCTGACCTTAAGCCATCTTGACTGGGTATTCAAACGCACGAACGACAGAACAGGACGACCAACACCACGTCATATAATGACACTGTTTCCCCACATTGCTGCGACACGCCCCCCAGCACCAGGCAAGATTGGCGTCACTTTTCGTGAACGAGACTCAGGCTCCTCGAGATCAAATTCGACAGGACTGAGATTACTTCTTTGTTCCCGTCTGATGTGGCCACAGCACGGGTCCACTTCCGTCTTCACGACGGTTCTGCTGCCAACATTTGTAGATTTTGGGACTACGGATGACCTCGTAGCCTCCTCCTCCTTGTCCTCCTTTGCTGTCGTCATTGCGGAACACAGCGTGGTCGAGCCTGCGAGGACAATTTGACGCAGTTGTTCAGGTTTGCAAGCCGCACGGAGATCTCAGGATAAGAGGCCACCGTGATGTTCTCATGGGTAGTTCCCGGATAGTCTCTCCTCACCTGATCATGGATGTCAGCCATATTGTCAATCACACGCTCGCCAGGCCAATATCGCCGACACGTAAGCTTCTCAAGATTGGATTAGGCCTCCTTCGAGAACAATTGAGATAGCTTATCGAGCAATTGCCCACAAGGCGTATCCACCGAGCAGGCTGACATTACCGCGATACGCCTGGCAGAGGCGGCCAGCTTTCTCATCACCTTGCGCGACCGAGATCCGGGCTCTTCGAATCTCAAGAACTCTTCCATCTTCTCAACCCATATCTCGATGTCGTCGTCGAAGCCGAACTCAGCCGACTGACAGTGAAAATTGCCTCGTTCACATCTGCTGTCGGATCGCTTCTATATATAGTCACGTCACGGCTATCCTGCTCCCCATTGGTCAGTAAGTCGGTTCTGTAATGGAGACGAACAACTCGTGAGCCGATTGGCTGGCAGTTGTGGGCGCGCTAATCAATGCTCGCGTGACGCCACGATGCCGGAAGTCGCGCCCCGGGTCACATGACACCGTCATCACGGCTTCACGTTCGTTCTCGACCAATGGCTGAGCGCCAAGATGACGACCAACAGATGCGCCGCCTCATCAAGCATGAGTGAGCGATTGTGGCGAGGCCTTATGGAGAATGTTAGGCATGGTCGTAATTCATGTGCCTGTCGCATGATTTGGCTTAAATGTGGTAAACCGGTGTAAGTCCCGAGTTTGTTTATCGCATGTGAGAAGCAACGTTATTACTGCTTTATTGAAGTGCTTATTTGCCACATGGACATAAAGGGTACTGTGGTATGTCGCTTAGAACAGTGGCAGAAACAATTGTGGAGCTTATCCCATCAATTGCTTTCCAGGCAGCTTGGTGGACTGGAGGTGCAGCAACGGCTTCATGCCAGTAAGTTGCCCCTTTGGCAGAAATTACATGTGCAAGCTCATTAAGGAAGCTGAGTCAATTGGAATGTCGGTTTCCACAGCCCCTTCATCACTCCGACGCGGAATGCCCACGAGTACAGAGGAGAACTATCAGGTCGCTGTTTCTGCCTCGTCATCTACTGGTTTCGTGTCAGGCGTGCTTGATCCGGCCAAGGAAGACTGTTGCCGGGTCGCTTGTAGTTTCGACTGCGTCCACCTGGACCTTGTCTAAATGCTTCTGTTGTGAATCGTGTTTATTCAATCCCTTAATCCGTTCCCTTCGCCTCCAACACAGGGCTCACCCCTCTCGCAGCATGGCGCCAGCCGCGCAAATCCTCAACTCCCCCTTCATTCACACGTATATGTGTCTTGGATTAACCTCACACCTAGGTCTCGATGTTAGCGCAGTTATGAGTCACACATCCGAGCTTTAAATACACACGCACAAACCCCAGATGGAACCAGGTCTTCGTCAAGCCCGCGAATAAACGTTTGACGTTCTGTCCTTCCACCGACTGCATCTTTGTTGGGTAACTCGTGATATTAGGCATCCCAACACTTCAGTGAAACTACGAGAGGCAACGAAACCCTATAGATGTTGAACGATTGTTAGGCGGTAGTTCTTGTGGACAGTCTTCTGCTTGTTTGTTTTAAATTAACCCAAATTGCTTAAAGCTCATTAATCGGGTATTTTACTTTCTGAAACACGAGCTGGGGGAGTGTGGTAACTCGTGTGCGCCATGGGCGTGTTTTGTGTGCAGTGGAATATGTCGTCCACAGTAATGTTCAAACACATTTATGAGGTTGGACATGGATTGAAATGAGTATACTGTGGATGGCGTTGGTTCGCTCCTGTTAATTCGGTCGTTCCATTTGCCGACACAATGTTCCCCATTCCACAACCTAGCAGAACATAAATTCACACCTCAGTAAGAAGGATTACCCGGATTGTCGCCTTGGTCTCGGTACTGGCACATTGATGACTCACGTTGTTTCACACCTCTGAACTATGAGCGCACACGCGCGAACGCCACACATGATCCGACGACGCCAACTTGGTTGAGCTCTGAGGTAAACGGCTGTGTCCACGTCCCCTCTAGTCTTCTTTGTCATCGCGGGTAGCGTAATCGAGCCAGATTAAACTCAGTGGCCCAGTGAGGTTTGAGGCCACATGCCAGGGTCCCACAAATGAATTTGACAGGTCAAGTTACGTTAATGTGACGAGTATTTGAATTAGACATAGATGAGTCTGTTTGTTTTGGTGCGAGTGCGATTTGCTTAGCGAAAGTGAGATTACTTTAAATTGAGGTGGTATTCTCGAAGTTGCTCGAAGTCGTTAACTAAAATGAGTGGCAATCACTGATGTCGGAGAAGTCGAGCGCCCATCAGACACGAGGCTAAGTGCCAAAGAGTCCTCTTACGTGCTTTCTCATTGGTTGAGCTGACGCTTAGTGGCAGGTCATTGGCCGAGAAGATCACAGGGTGCCTGTATTGCAGAATGAATTTTACTTCCCACTTCAAAGATAAGTCGAGATTTCGAACACTCGTGCCTTGTTTTTATTTCAAGACGCTGTCACAATTTGCTCGAACGATGCCGTCGCCGCGATTCGGTTAGCACGCTATTAGTTGAACGATCCTGGCTGCGTCAGCTATCCTCTCGACCACCTGGCGTCTGTTGTGCGTGGCCGGGTTGAAATCAGGGAATTCAGCTCACCACTTGACGTGCAGCTGAGACTCACCAAGAGGTCCGATTCATCTTGAAAATTTCACATAATTGCTTGTCTCCTATGCTTTCAATCATATTTGCAGGCATTAGA